GTTTGGGCTTTGCTTCTGTGAAGATTGACAGCCTTGGAGACCCTGTGGGGCAGTTCCACTCTGTCCTCTAGGGGCGCTGTGGGTCAGAATCGGCTCCAGGGCAGCGAGTGTGGTTTATTTTTGGGTTTTATCACCAATGGGGTGACACAGAATGGCCAAAAGGCAGCATGCTACTCTGCAGTGGGTTGGAGCGTCTTTGACCTGCCTTTGTCATCAGTTTTGCTGTCCCTGGAAGACGGTCCCTCTCGTCATTGCTGTTGTTGTTACCTGCCATGGAGTTAACTCTGATTCATGGCGTCTCACAGACTTAAAAATTTCCAACAAAAATCCTTATCCTTAGTATGTGTGATGAGTTTTGCCATTTTAATATTTTCATCTATTCTGTTTGCTTTCTTTTCTTCTACAAATAATGCTGCTAGTGGCTGACTGAATTGATTTCCAAACCCACCAGTGCGTCACGGCTTGGAATTTTAAGAACATGGATGCAGTGGGTTCGACGGGGCTTTTGGAGACAGAAAACGGGGTCTTTTTGGATGTGAAGTCTCAGTTCACGTCCTAAATGAATGTCGTAATCTCTCAGTCTTGGTCTGCGCATCTCAAGATGAACCACACACCGAACGCACGCCTCATCGCGGTCCTCAGCCGGCAGGGCTGCCTTCACCCGCTCCGCGGTACCGAGCTCCCTAGCCCTGTTCTCGTCCCCACGGCCCTCTCCAGTCACCGATGTGTCCACTGCTACCCAGGAAACACGGCTGGCGGGGGGAGACTCACGGCCCCACTTACACGTGAGACCTCTCCTTTAAAAATCTTTGTTTTTTAAAAACAGTTTCCTTAGAGCCTGACTGTCAAGCTTCCTGTTCCAGGTGCCGAAGGCCTCAGAGGTCCCCTGCCGTGTCTGCTGGTGCCTTAATGTGAAGGGACAATGAACAGAACTTCTGAATCGGAAAAGGGAAAAGGGGAATCAGTCATTTTCTGATCCATGCAACTGCCAAAATACTGTATCTGGAAAACGATGTTAAACACAGAAAGGAAAAACGTGGGTGAACTTAGAGGACTTGATGTGAGTCAAGTCACCCACAAAAGGACAAAGATTGTCTGAGGCCGATGCTGTAAGAAGTCAAAGAAAGGGTTTCAAAAAAGAGCTATTCTTTGACGGTTACTTGGGGTGGTGGCGAGCCACCAAGTGCAGGGGAGACATGCAGGAACCTCGGGGGGGAAGGCAATTTCCAACAAGGGGGGTCAGCACAGAACGACCAGCGGGGACAGACACGCCGAACCCCATTAGGACAGCAGGTTCCACCTGGCTTTCTCTTTGTGGCTGACAAAAAGGTGCGTACATGCACTTACTGACCTGGTGCATTTGCAGTGACACAGTGGACTCTGCTGGAGTGATCATGTGTGTACCAGGTGGCCACATGCTTGCTCTGCTGGAGCGGCCACGTGTACACTGTGTGTATACAAGTGTGTGGACCTACGGCCAGGGTGACAGCAGACTGCTTGAGTGGCCATGTGTACACTCTGTGTGTACACATGTATGTGGACCGATGGCTAGAGTGGCAGTGCATGCTCTGGTGGAGTAACTATGTGTATACTGCGTGTATACATGTGTGTGTGGACCGACGGCCACAGTGACAGAGCTTGGCCTGCTGAAGTGGCCACGTGTGCACTGTGTGTACGTGTGTGTGGCCCGATGGCCACCTCAGTACTTCTCCTCAGTGCTGACTGCTGACTTTGGGTCCCTCCTGCAAGCTGCTGCTCTGGCCGCACGTGCCACACTGTGGCAGCACCGTGATGACAGATGTTCTCAGGACACACAGAGGCTCACATGTCCTTTGCACAGCACTGCTCTGAAGACACGGCACAGATGGCTTGTGACGTACTGTTTTGAGTCAGGGCTGAGGTCATCTAGAGGGAGCCTCATGGGTGCTGACGGGCGTGGCAGTGGTGGGACAGTGAGCACCCCTTCCCTCTTCTCTCTCCGGCTCGCTGACATGTCCCCGTGGCGGCATGACGCACGGTTTTACCTTACAGCCTTTTTTCCAAGGCAACAAACAAGAGGACCCACGTATTTTCAGTAGGTTATTAATATTTTCCCCTGAATGTGAGTATCAGCTTAAGTCATTTGCAGCTGGAATGTAACTCAAACCATTTCAGTCAAAATAAGGACAGATCTTAAAAATGAGAGAAACCTTATAAATGAGAGGGATCTTAAAAAGAGTGGGATCTTAAAAATTCCTAGCTTTCCCAGAAAATGTTATGCTATCATATCGTTATCTTCATAACTCTTTCTTTAACAGAGTTTAACAATTGTGTTCGAGATTTAAATAGTTTAACTTGTGTGACAAAGAGTATATGGCCAACGTCGCCTCTAGGAACAGGGTGGATTCTGCGTTTGACGTGGGGTGTGAATCCTTTGGGCTTACGATTTTTGATTGGTAGAGCAACTTCCTAATTTTTAATATACGAATTAGGTAATTCATTCATGTGCTTTTTAAAAAACACGCGTATGAAAGCTTCCTGCCCTCTGTATAGGAGAGCTTTGGGCCAGCGACAAGCCAGTTGAATTCTTCATCGCCCACTTGTTCAGCCTGGCATTAAGCGTGACTGCACATCTGTATAGGAATTACTTTATGGGGAGTTTTATTGAGAGAGCAAAGAGTGAAAACCAAACAGGGGCTTCACCCACGAATGCCACACTGAAAGGGCAGACTCCGTCACGGCGGTCGGTGAGTCTGGAAGCCTAACGAGGGGGCTTGGTCTTCAAACTGAAGGAAGACACGAGAGCGTTCCCTAGTCCTTGAGTCAAGGCTGATGCCCAGCGACGTGGCTGCGATAGCCCTTCCCACAGCTCCCACTGACCCACTTTGCTTGGCAGGGCGTTTGGCACCACGAAGGGCACCTTCTAAGGGTTTGACGGAATCCATGGTTGGAACCTATGGTTGGAAGGATCACGGATTTCTGGAAATCCATACAGCAGGTAGAGTAAAACGTTTGTCGGCTGAACTGGCCTTGTCGCCTCGGACACAGGACGAGACGAGGAGAGCGCCCGCCACTCCAGGGCTGCTTTCGCTGGTCACTTCCACTCCACTTAACAGACTTTAGAAACCACGTTAGAAACCAGTTAGTTTAACTCGTGTAGCAAACACGCGTGGGTAACGTCGGCTCTGGGGACGCGGTAGGCTCTGCGTTTGAAGCGGGACATGACCCTGCGGGTTTCCTATCTGGGGCCGCGGAGCAGCTTCCTAATTCAAAGGGGGGAGAAACGACTTAGGAAAAGGCTCATAAGGCTTTCGACATCAAATGGCTTTTACTAAACAGCATTTTGATGAGTTAAGTGTGAGTGAGTCAGGGACATATGGGTTACATTTCCCTCGAAATCCACATGGGCTTAAAAATTAAGGGGAAAAAAGAGAGTCAAATGCATTTTAGAGAAGCTAGAATGTTGTAAAAGACATTTTTCCCTTCAATGCAAATACCAGCTTGAGTCAATTGCCGTGAGACTCTGTAACTCAAACTACTGATGTCAAAGTGGAAAGGAATCTAAAACACACTTGTTTTGTTGGGGAGAGGAGGTCACTGCATCAGAAAGCATCGTGTCCGGGGCTGGCTTCGGAAGACGCAGCTGAGCCACGGTTTCTCCCAAGCTCTGGGACATGCGGAGCCCTGGGGGTGCCGCGGGTCAGCCCTGGGCTGCAAAACGAAAGGTCAGTGGTTCAAACTCACCAGCTGCCCCGCAGGAGGAGGATCAAGCCCTCCGTGTCCATACAGACTGGCAGCCTTAGAAACCCAACGAGGGTCGCTCTGAGTTGAAAAAACTCAATGGCAGCGGGTTTGGTTGGTTTTGTAACGAAACAAAGATCATCTTAACTTTAGCTACTGTAATCCCGGCAAAGTAAAGTGATGAACTGAGTGATTATCAGAATGATTCAATCAGTCTGAGCGGTTTAGCCAATAATGCGGGTAAAAAGTAGTTCATTTCAGTAATTCAAAGCAACTTTTGTTTTGTTCCTAGACATTCCAGTTAACTCTGCCCATGTAAATGTTTCCAACGAGGACCTTTTAAGGGCAAGTCATGTGTTGGAAGAATTCCTTCATGATTCAAAGAAACACAACACACGCTGGCTACTCTAAGAGGAGATGGAACACAATGAGAGGGTGTCTATGTTAGGTGTGTTACGAATGTCACCATTCTAATGACACAGGGTAGCTGTAATAACCTTCCTCACTGCGGGTGGGGGTGTAAGGTGGTGAAGCTGCTTCGGAAAACATCTGACAGCTTCTCAAGATGTTAAACGCGGAGCTGCTGCTTGACCCGCCGGTCCACACCTAAGCGCACGCCAGAGAGGCGGAAACACACGTCCACGCCGCGTCCTGCACACGCACGTTCAGAGCACCACTGCTCCTAACAGACGCAAGCAGCCGCCAGCCCACGTCCTTCAGCTGATCAACAGATGAACAAGACAGGGCATGTCTCACAAGGGCATGTGCCCCGCCCATACGAAGGGATGAATATTGATGCAGGGCACCCGGCCCAACCTCGAAAGCATTCTGTGAGTGAGAGAAGGCCTTGCAGCACCTGGTTCCACTTACAGGAGCGGTCTGCTGGGCAGGTGCATGGAGACCGGGGGGCAGGGGTGCCTCGGGCGGGTGGGTGGGGAGAAGCAGGGCTTGTCCACGAGGTCTCCTCGGGAGGGACGGGATGCTCCGCAAACGATCTGGTGACACACCGAGTGCAGGCAGTCCCCGGCACGGACGCCTGACTTACGGACAGCTCCCACTGGCCCTTTCCACTGGGCTTCAAACCGGTTCTGTTACAGCCAACAAGGTGAGACACATGCACCACCAAACCTTTACGACTGGGGCGATTCATCCAGTAACTAGAACAGAGAAACCGTGGGTGGAAACCGTGGGAGGGGAGAGTTGGAAGCGGCGCAGTGAGTGCTTTCAGGAGCCGGAGGCGTGAGATGGGACGGTTGGCAGGACTGTGGAGGGCCACACACATGCAAACCACAAGACCGGCCTGGAGTGGGCGCCACCATCCTCAGTAAGCTAACTCACTCACCAATGCACATACACTTGAGTTAATCTGAAATTTCAGCTACTCAGTACTTGTTTGAAAAAATAACTTGCTAAGTTCCAAATCATAGTAAGTAATTGGGATTTTAGATTAAAATCCGTTCCATTATACTGATTAATCTCAGGACTCTAAGTGAAGACATAGCTAGAGAATTGAAATTTCTACTCAAATGTGGAATCTTAGGTGCTAATTCACTCTGCTGAATCACTACCAACTAAAAAGGCAATTTAAATAATGTTCTGTGTTATTGACACGACAATTACTTAATTGGCTTAATTCTTAATATGCTTAATTCTATATCACTAGCTGTATCGGCCATTTGGCACAATCTGTAAGAAGTTGAGTCATCAGGAATCACGTGTGTTTAACTTGCGTCTTAAGATTGAACAGTGTATGAGAAAAGGACCCAAAGCTGAAACAGAAAACTGCCTGGTATTGAAAGTGACAGAACTTTGTGGAACCTTCTGTCCCGATTACAGACTAGAAGACTCCAGAGAAAGTAGACAAAAGATGAGAAAGGGTCAACATTTAACTGAAAACTCTGCTCAAATGATGCCTCTCATGAGATTTCCCCAAAAGTGACCACAGTGCTTTACCCCGCACACGGAGCGACGGCCAACAGGGCTCCACGGACTCGTGGGGAAGATCAGACTTCCGA